GGGGGGGGGGGGGAGGTTTGCAAAATTGCCGTTAAGTTGTGCGGGTAAAGACTTTTAGAGAAGAAAACATCAATACTGTTTCACAGATTGTTTTTTCCCTCGCGACATGTTTCAAAGACTGGAGAAGAAAAGTCTTCTAAGAAAAGTGACTCGGAGGACATCGCAAGCTCAGAGCCCCATCTTTTATCTCACCCAAGACCCCTGCCCCAAGAAAGGACAACACTGGGAGATCAAATGAAAAAAATCCCAAGCAAAAAGCGAAAGTCTAGCATCTTTCCTAGGAGCCCGCTAAGACCTCAAAAGTCCCATCTGCCCCAAATTGTTAAGAGCGGCCAGTGCTACCCCTGCCCGGACCGCGGAGCTCAGAACCGGAGGGCGGCATTGTGAAACTCACATTCCTAGGGTACCTCACGTTTTAGCGTCAAAGACGACAATATACTGGGCTGGGTCGCGCACGACGGACGAGAGGCACCCGCTACTCCGGGTCCTCTATTTTCCGCCGACCTTAACTTTCTTGTCACGAGAAGACCGGCCCTCAGCAGGCCAGGAAAACTGCGATAAAAGACCGCTCGGTTCCGCAACGGGGGAGGAGGCGCTCGTCCCACTCCTCCTGTCAAGGAGCCGCGGCCTTGCAGGGCCCCGCCGCGCCCCGTCCGGGTCCTCGGGGGTCCTGCTGACAGATCCGCTGGGCGGCGGCTGCTCAGCCACAGCCCGTCGGCGTCCCGCTCAAACTGCAACTCCCCTCCCCCCACACCCCAGTCTCTCCGCGCTCCCGCCAGATTCCGCCCGCCACCGCCCACTCGCAGACACCCAGTTGCCCCCAACCCTATCTCCTCGCATTTTTCGTGATTAAAATGAAGGCGGACTCAGTGCCCACTCCCTACACCCCTCACCGCCTGCCGGTCCCACCACTGCCGCCTCCCGAGTCCCGCTCTGCTACTTCAGTCTCTTACCGACTGCGCCAACCCTGGCCAAGCTCCGCGAACTGCCCTTTGCTCAAAGTAATTTTTGACGATTTTTTTAGTGATTTTTCAGTGGAGTCCCAGTCGCGACGTACTCTCGGACAGGTTATCCCATCTCTCCCGCTAGATTGATAGGACCAGGCACCACTCGAAAATGGCGCCGAAAGCGCTGAGGCTCCTCATTCAAATTCGTTAGAGCCAACCCCGCCGCCCTGGGGCATGCCGGGAACGCGGGCTGCCTTCACAGCTGTCAATACTGCTTCCAACCCCCCTTCTCTGGCTTTCTCGATAATTTTGCGCACGCGCCAACCCCTCCCCCCAGCCCCCGCGCCTTGCACATGCGCAGAATTATCGCTGTTCTCAGCTCTCTCCTCCGTTTCCTAGGTGGCAATCCTCTTACCTCTGTTCCTTGCGCCTGCGTGCAGGTCCTTTACTCAGCCTCGGTGGTAGAGGGACTGTGCCGATTGTGGGCCTGAGGGTCCATAGACGATGTATCAGTCGATAGGCATTTAGTTTGCTGTTCGAGGAAAACAGATAAGGGTGCAGCTTAAGCGAAAAGAAAAACGTCTTAATGCCAGTGTCTAAAAGTAACAACAGAGTGTGTCTCCGAGACCATCTAACTGTATTGCACGGATACACGTGTATTTAAAACAGCCCAGCCTGTGTGCTGAGCTCTTGCTGTACGCCAACGCTGTTCAGGAGCTATTGCACGT